TTTCAAGATATACAAATCAGCCAATGCGCGACCTCATAAGAGCAGCTTTGATTCGACGATTTCCCAGCGGCCTCTCGACCAAGCCCGAACATACAGAACTCAATGCATATCACCAGCACAGAAACTAATAAATTCCGCTACAAAGGTCTCTCCGTGTTTTCTCAATTCCATGGCGTATGCCCCCATCATTTGGCCGAGTCGATGTTTGCTGGGCAAGCACATTACCCATTCCAGCTCAAGAGCGCCTTCAGCTCTGTAAACGCTACCGACTGATGTATGGATCAGTTCATCTCTTCCCACACACTAACTGTCGTCCCTCGAGGCGATTCATAGTTCTCTATATATGATCAAAACCGAATTTCTATCACCGCACTCGTTGCCACGGGCACTTGCCAGTTTGTTGGATGAGAGAAAATCGGTCTTAGGGGATCCGGAGGAGGAAAGCCATCGCAATTTTGCGTCTCGTAAACGGATAATGTATCGCAGGCTGCTGGATACTGGCGGTTGGATAACCTCCCGTCCAAAGAAACCGTTCCGCAACTTGTGGACCACAAGAGCCACTCCGACAGTTCAACAATTTCGAAAAAACTCCGCCCACTTAAAAGGCATTAATAGTTGTATAACCCGACCTTGGGTTAGTCTAGAAAGTCTAATAAGCAATGCTGCCAGTCGGTGATCCGTCGGGATTCACAGCCTTCAATTTCACCTGGCGAGCGAGTTCGTGCGCCAAGATACCTCTATTGAAACTCCAATTTTGACGGTGCGCGGTTTAGGGAACTCCAATTTCGTCAACCCGTTGGTTCAGGAACTTCAGTTTTACATGATTGGGTGTTCTCTAAAAGCAGAATCTGCCCTTACTGAGCTTGACCGTGCTATGACTCGTACTCGACAAGGAGTAAGCGATGATTTATCACATGATGATGAATCGATGGAATTTCCACCAACGTACCGTGGAGAGAACGCGAGTAAGCAAGACGTGTGTTTGTGCGTCTCCAACATGTGTATCCAAATTAACTCTCCCTCACACCGTTTTATATCTCTCCACATGTTGCCTTTGGTAGTGGCCACCCTCTTGGCCTGTAGCGCCATGTGCGTTGCTGACCCCCTCAAGGGAGTTGAGTGGCTGGTCGCCCAAGGACGTCACGGTTACCCTGTTGAGTATTACGTTGAACCCGTGATCGAGACGAGGGGCGGGCATTTCACGGTGTGTGAGTCTGGCCCAGCGGTCGAGCCGTTTGAACGCTGGCTTCGTTACACTGCTGGTTACTATGGTACGTCTGAGCGCCCTGTGGCAAACGCATTTGTGCACGTCATCATGGGAGACAGTTCCCAAGAAACCTTCCAAGTTAAAGTGAATAGCAAAGACAAGGAATCACCATGTTTTTCCCCGACCGAGGTAACATCAGAAGCATATTATCACAAGTTCCTCGCGGATCTCAACGAGATATGCACAGATAACGCTTTCCGAATGCACAAAGCTGGTGGCCCGGGAATTCTTGTCGGTCGCTACTTCGGCGCCATCGACCACGGGCAGCAGACTCTAGAGCTCGAGCTCGACCATGGCAGTCTCAGTGCTGCTTCAACCAACGGAATCCAGGGCGCACTGCAGTTCATGGGGTTCGGAGACGCCTTCGTATATGCCTCCGTGAAGGGCCACGACAGTATTCGGATGATGATCCTCCGCCGCAATCCACCTAGTGATTCAGAGCATCGGCGTATTGGACGTGAGAACCTTGAAACCTGGGACCATATAAAGGCGCCCATTGGCATTTTCCATACTCGTATACATCGAGTGCGGCATGGCTGACTCCTGTCGGGTCGGTAACGCGATGTTCAGACAGACTCTAGCCACTGAATCAATCTGCACGACATTGTTTTAATGTAATTATTCATTACATGTGATGTTTTTGCTACGAATCATAAGTGTATTGACCAGTCCTGGTTATTCATGTACTGCTTTTTTGAAACGGAGGTATAACGCTGTTGAGTCGGAGTTTTGCCATAGGCAATGGCCCATAGTGTTCTTGGAGCCCGGCGCCCGGTCACCACTATACTCGGAGCTCAGTGTTCCATACTCCAATTCGATTTCTTGCGGAGAGGTCGTTGTATACGCATTGTTCACGAGTTCATACTATTCGGTGAGAACTTCTCCAACTACAGGCAGAATCAAACCGTTAT